AGAACTAACGTATAAACAAGAACCAACAAGTGTGCATGTAAAAAACCCTTGTTGGGATTAGAACTAGCAAAATAGAAGCTAGAACTGGCCGTATACAAGCTAGAACTAGGGTAATAGAAGCTATATCTAACGTAGAAGCAAGAACTAACAAGTGTGCATGTAAAAAAACCCTTTTAGGGTTTAGAACTAGCAAGATAGAAGCTAGAACTGGCCGTATATAAGCTAGAACTAGGGTAATAGAAGCTAGATCTAACGTAGAAGCAAGAACTAACAAGTGTGTATGTAAAAAACCCTTGTAGGGTTTAGAACTAGCAAGATAGAAGTTAGAATTGGCCGCATACAAGCTAGAACTAGGGTAATAGAAGCTATATCTAACGTAGAAGCAAGAACTAATAAGTGTGCATGTAAAAAACCTTTGTTGGGTTTAGAACTAGCAAGATAGAAGCTAGAACTGGCTGAATACAAGCTAGAACTAGGGTAATAGAAGCTAGAACTAACGTAGAAGCAAGAACTAACAAGTGTGCATGTAAAAAACCCTTGTTGGGTTTAGAACTAGCAAGATAGAAGCTAGAGCTCGCTGTATACAAGCTACAACTAGAGTAATAGAAGCTAAAACTAACGTAGAAGCAAGAACTAACAAGTGTGCATGTAAAAAATCCTTGTTGGGTTTAGAACTAGCAAGATAGAATCTAGAACTGGCTGTATACAAGCTAGAACTAGGGTAATAAAAGCTAGAACTAACGTAGAAGGAATAACTAACAAGTGTGCATATAAAAAACCCTTGTTGGGTTTAGAACTAGCAAGATAGAAGCTAGAACTGGCTGTATACAAGTTAGAACTAGGGTAATAGAAGCTAGAACTAACGTAGAAGCAAGAACTAACAAGTGTGCATGTTAGTTCTTTCTTCTACGTTAGTTCTAGCTTCTATTACCCTAGTTCTAACTTGTATACCGCCAGTTCTAGCTTCTATCTTCCTAGTTCTAAACCCAACAATGTTTTTTTACATACACACTTGTTAGTTCTTACTTCTACGTTAGTTCTAGCTTCTATTACCCTAGTTCTAGCTTGTATACATACGGTTCTAGCTTGTATCTTGCTAGTTATAAACCCAACAATGGTTTTTTACATGCATACTTGTTAGTTCTTGCTTCTACGTTAGTTCTAGCTACTATTACCCTAGTTCTAGCTTGTATTCAGTCAGTTCTATCTTCTATCTTGCTAGTTCTAAACCCAACAAGGGTTTTTTACATGCACACTTGTTAGATATTGCTTCTATGTTAGTTCTAGCTTCTATTACCCTAGTTCTAGCTTGTATATAGCCAGTTCTAGCTTCTATCTTGCTAGTTCTAAACCCAACAAGGGTTTTTTACATGCACACTTGTTAGTTCTTGCTTCAACGTTAGTTCTAGCTTATATTACCCTAGTTCTACCTTGTATACGGCCAGTTCTAGCTTCTATCTTGCTAGTTCTAAACCCAACAAGGGTTTTTTACATGCACAATTGTTAATTCTTACTTCTACGTTAGTTCTAGCTTCTATTACCCTAGTTCTACCTTGTATACGGCCAGTTCTAGCTTCTATCTTGCTAGTTCTAAACCCAACAAGGGTTTTTTACATGCACACTTGTTAGTTCTTACTTCAACGTTAGTTCTAACTTCTATTACCCTAGTTCTAGCTTGTATACGGTCAGTTCTAGCTTCTATCTTGCTAGTTCTAAACCCAACAAGGGTTTTTTACATGCACAATTATTAGTTCTTTCTTCTGCGTTAGATCTAGCTTCTATTACCCTAGTTCTAGCTTGTATACGGCCAGTTCTAGCTTCTATCTTGCTTGTTCTAGCTAGTTCTAGCTCTAATTCATCTTAGTTCTAGGCTCTTGGGAACGGAGAAAAGCTCCTCCTACCTCCGACGGAGCCTACCGAGATACCCCGACGACCTCGGCAACCTCCTCCCACTTCTGGTAAGCCCGGAAAGCGCCGAATATCTCCGAACAGCGAAGAACAAACCCGAACGGCGAGAAATTGCACTGCAGAAAACTATAGTTTTGTGCCGACTTCGCACGCACTTTCTGATCACCTCCAATCTCCGTTTCCGTCGATTTCTTCTTTGGTGAGTAGCCCTACATGTTGCCTATCACCTCCAATTTGTATCATGCTATAACTCATTCTCTATCTCTTTCGGTAACGTCCGAAACATCGCTCGACGGCAGTAGCGAGCAGAAAAAAACAGCGACGTGCCGACTTCGCGCGTGTTTTACGGCCACCTCCGGTCTCCATTTTCACTACCGTCTGCGCCGGTGTGTATCCCTTTATATTGTCTATCACACGGTATCTTCCTTTCATTTGGGTTCATTTTCTACCTCTCGTTATATTGCTTCGAATATCGCTCGATGACACCGTGACAATTTCATTCATACAGTTATATTAATACACCTTTTCGTTCTTTCTTAATTATGACATTTTTCTTCATTTCCCTTCTACTCTACTTCTCCTTACCTTTTTTTATTTTTTTATTTTTTCCTTTTTTTTCTTTTCTTCTTCTAGCTAATAGATTAATGCTCTGTGCGTCTCGGTCTGGTAACTAAAAAACATCCACAACAGAATCGATCACAATTTGCAAATACAGAAGCTCATAAGGATAAATCCACAGTCATGTGAGAAATTAAAAACATAAATATATTGTCAACATGAAACCTCAATTGATCAAAGTCATCTCAAAAAAAAAGAAAAAAAAGTAATGTCCAAATCTCAACGGGTCACAACAACATCATCATTTACTGTAAATATCAATCTCAAAAACCAACCTACTCGTAGCATCATCTTCTTAAATTCATCAAAGCATAAAACACCATCCCCATTAATATTATACCTTCGGATCATCTCCCTGCACTCCTCAACAATCTTCAATTGCCCGAGCTTTTCGAGTGTTTTCCTCAACTTCTTAAATTCATCAAAGCATAAAACACCATCTCCATTAACATCATACATTCGGATCATCTCCCTGCACTCCTCAACAATCTTCAATTGCCCGAGCTTTTCGAGTGTTTTCCCCAAACTTTGCGGCGGCGATCTACGGCGGGGGAGCGGTGGCGATCTACGGTGACGAGGACGGGCGGAGGAGGGGAGGGGAGGCGGCGGCGAACTCGATGGGAGTCTTGGGGGCCTGAGCGGAGGCGGCGACGACGACGAGGAGGAGGACGAGGGGCAGGACGACGAGCTTGAGAAAGCTCTTAGTTTTAGAGAGAGGAGAGAGAGAGAGAGAGAAAGAGAGAGAGAGAGAGAGGAGATGAGAGAGATGATATGAGTGCTGTGTCAGAGAGATTGATGAGAGAGGATAAGGATAATTTGGGAATTTTAGCTTAGCTGGCATGTGATAATTAATAAAAAAGGGCTGCAGTACAAAGTGTTACACTTCAAGGGGCTGATCCACATGGAAAAAACTATGAGGGGCCTTGTCACATGAAGTTTCTGTTTTTGGGGCCTGGACACATTTTTCCCTAAAATTTTCTTACCGAGGTATATCCGTATCCGTATCCATATCTGAGATGGGTAAACAAATATGGATATGATAAGCATCATATCCGAGCCGTATCCAGACCGAATGCACCCCTACTAACAACCCCTAGATGGCTTGATTTCTTTGGGGAAAAAAAGGAAGGCTTGAAAACAATCTGACTGAAATTACTGCTTCATTATTGAGGTGATGGAATATTGATCATGCAAATTTTCTAAGTATGGCACATTTTCCCCAAAGAAAATATGCACACTGATTTTTGGCGAGTGAAGGCAGGATTTTAAATTTGATTTAAATTTTTGGGTCAAACATGTGGACATGTAACAATTTCCACATGTTTATATTTGGCTGAATATTTCTTTCCACTTTCATCAGCTTCGATTTAGGGATTGCTACATGAACATATATAATACCCATCCATAAATATATTTTAAAGATTTTTCAGTCAACTACTATGAACATTTTCTTTCCTTAAACCATCTTGGATGATATTATTACAAATAAATTATCATCCTAACGATGATATCTCCTGCTAGTTTTGGCGCTGATCTTGTGAAAATTTGATGAAAACTCATTGCAATTTACTATAAAAGTTCATTATATATTTCTAAAGAAAATATTGTAATGTTCATAATGATTTGGATATTTTATTTATTTCATGGTTAGAACTACTGTAAATCTTTTGTTTTCTGGTAATGCTGGAATTAAAATTGATAGGTTAAGGATTAGTACAGTAGAGGTTTCATGCTCAAAAGCATAAAAGGGAATTTTTGTTATTATTAATGTTTTGATATAATAGTTTAAAGAATTAGCACTGCACCAACCATAATTGTCAAATTTATTTAAAGAACTAAAACTTAGCTATACATATTAAAGCTTAATTAAGATTCTAAGTTTTATGTAAATTATTATTGTTATTATTTACTACTAATATATTATGATATGGCAGGGCATCTTAATTACCCTGTTGCTTGCCTCAAAAAATCTTATTATTTAGTCATATTCTCACCTCGTTAAATTTAAGAAAGAAGTCCTACATAAGGTTATCTTGCTACTCCCAATGGAATGCGGATCTTATTAATTATGTGAAAGAATTTTAACAATAGACAAGTTAAGAGTGCTTTTATTCGCAAAAAAAGCTCCATTTATAGATCATTAACGAGAAACAGTAAATATGCACATTTTTAGGAAGAAATCATTCAAAATATGAGCAGAAAATCTCTGCACTGATTTAGTTTAAGGCTTGTGCTCCCTATATAAATAGCAAAGCAATATGCATGTTTTCTAGTGTTATCAGCAGTCTTTTGATTTTAGGAGTAAAATGGTAGTGCACTGTTATTCATCTTTTATGAAATATATGTTTTATATTTTTCAGTAAACTTATACATTCATCTCTAGCTGGCATGTACGCTAGTTAGTTTCATATATTTCATTGTTTGTTTCATGTAGTTAATTAATTTAAGGCATTTGTTGCTTTTTTTTGTAACAGGAAGCATATTTTCTTGTGTTGTGTTGCCTTGCTTACTACTTCGGTGGAGGACTATCTCAAATAGCAAATGTTATTGACTATGGAGCTGTTGGAGATGGGAAAAGAGATGATACTCAAGTAAAAATTAAACCATATTGACCTTCATGCTTTATGAAAAGAATACTAATTAAAGAAATTTATTTATTTGAGGAGTCTCTTCTTACGTTCTTTGTTTTAAACTTCTGTTAATTATTCCTCATAAGTGGTTTTCAGCAATATTTTCATAAAATATGTGGAGTCTCCTTATTTTCGCGAATTTTTTTCGGTGAATATTTTCATAAAATATGTTTTCGGTGAATTAATTACTGCAAACCCCCTAAGATTTGCAGGATTCACAAAATTAACTTGGGTTAAAAATAATATTGAAATTAGTCTCTACATCAGAAAAGCTAATGAGTCTTCATTTTTTAAATCTTACGAATTTTGTGTCTTTCCTTCAAAGTGTAAGAGGAAGTTCTTGTGATTTATCCTAATATTTTTATGAGAAACCTGAGTAAGATTTATAATATTATGACATTTTGTGAATTATTTTTCAGGCATTTTCAACAGCTTGGGATGTAGCTTGTAATGCTTCAGATTCTACAACAATGTTAATCCCCTCAGGGAAAACATTTATGATTTATCCGGTGGTCTTCAAAGGCCCTTGCAAATCCCCAGTTCATGTTCAGGTAAGAGTAGTATAAATAAAAATATTGAAATGAATTTCAAAACGAAACTCAATATTATTATTTGATTATGTTACTTTTTTTTAAATAATAAGCAGGGTGAGATACCCCTACTCCTGGATATATGAATATATATTATTGATTATGTTACTTATTGAATAATGTAGGTTGATGGCAATATTGTAGCTCCTAGCCAAATATGGAAGCGACCAGACAGTGATCATTGGATTACATTTCTAGGAGTCAAAGAAGGAATAAGAATCAATGGGAGTGGTCAATTCGATGGAAACGGAAATATTTGGTGGACTTGCCGTGAAAAAAATGTGCATGGAATTTTCAAAATTTTGACCTTTATTATGCATAATTTTCGTAAATGATCACGAATTAGTAGAGATTTTGCACAAAAAATATCATTTTATCAAATAAAAATGTAAATACTTTTTTTTCACAAAGCCTATCATGATTCACAAATGTTGGTCATAAGGTAAGTTGGTAAGTTGGCTTGTGATATAGGTGACACATTTTACAGACTGTTTGATATTTTTACGTTATGTACCTATATACTCTCCTCAATCGTACCTGTGGTTGGCATCATTAGGATAAAACTTTTTCATAAATATAGTATTATTTTACCAATTTAAATATTTATGGTATTTTCTCTAATATAAATAATTAAGGTATTTTGTGCTAAACACCTTACAATAGCTAATGGTGATTTTGAGGTTCCTTTTTTAATCCATATACAGCCTTATATTAATTACTAACCTTCTTCCTTTTTTCTTTAATTTCAGATATGTTCAGATGCTCCTGATGTAAGTAATTCATTAATTCTTTTTAATGAATTTCAGAAAAATACTAACAAACTTCATGGCTGATGATATTTGATATGTTTGTGTAGACATTGGCATTCGGCAATTGCAGTAATATCACATTGGAAGGCTTGAGATTTGTAAACAGCCCAATGAAACATATTTCTATTTTTAAGTCTAGCGGAGTTCAATTAAGGAACCTCACAATTCTAGCTCCTGGTGAAAGTCCCAATACTGATGGCATCCACATTGAAGAATCTCAGCAAGCTGAAATTTCAAATTCTATAATTGGAACAGGTAACTCTAATTAAATCCAAAAAAAAAAATGGTATACACCCAACGTAAATGAGTTTGGGTCATAGCTGAGTTGACACATTTAATCCGTTTAATAAACTAGTCAGGTTTGAATATCCAGTTAATCTATTTTAGTCCAATTAAAATTTTATATTAAGAAATCTGATAAATAATTAATTAAATTAAAGTGAAAGTTTTACCTAATTATAAATACTAAATAATTAATTGGTATAGAGTTCATTTTATTTCATTCTCTCTTTTATTTTTTTTGTATATGTTGAAGGTGATGATTGTATATCAATTGGATCTGGTACATCAAATCTTAATATCACCCAAATAAATTGCGGACCAGGACATGGCATAAGGTTTGTATGATGAGCTCTGAATTCTCATTTTAAACTAAAAGTTATTTTGGATTATTACAAATTTGTTTGGAAAACTAATTACATTTGATCACATTTGATTTTGCAGTATTGGCAGCTTGGGCAGAGGTGGCACTAAGGCAACTGTGAATCAAGTTCTTATCTCCAATTGCAAATTTAATAAAACAACAAATGGTTTACGAATTAAAACTTGGCCGGTAATAATTACAACTTATATTGTGTGAATTGTACTACATAGTCTACATATATATGTTACTAAATATTTTTTGATTTATTTATAACTTGGGTTTTGATTTTTCAGGGTGGCTCTGGTTTGGTTAATGACATCAAATTTGTGGGAAATAATTTCACTGAGGTTTATAATCCAATAATTATAAACCAATTCTACTGTGACCATAGCAAAAATTGTGGCACCGGGGTATGTAATTAATTTATGTGGTTTGTTTTTCACTTATAAAGTCTGAATAGGGAAACAATTCTTTGATAAATGATAGAATAGATGGCTTTTTTATTTTCTATTTTCAAGAAAAAGTTTAATTGTTATGGTTGACAAAACTTGACAACCTCTCTGCTATACTTAGTCGCAACATAGTAGATGTAAATATTATCTGTTATATCTCTTTGAATTTAAGAAAATGCATAGTAGATGTATATATTATCTTTTATATTTCTATGAATTTAATAAAATGCATGTATACCATGTACCCTGACAGATACTTCTAAATTTTAACATACATCCGACGTAAAAAAGGGTGAGCAGCTCCTATCATCATGATATAAATAAAACAAAAATATTTGTTTGTAAATAAATAATTTCTCTCTTGGCATTGTTTTTCAATCTTTAATTATTTCATCTATAGCATGAGTATATATCTATATATGTGCTACTAATAAACTAGTTGTTATTAGTCGCAACGTGGCAATACTTAAGTTGCTACGTGATATTTCAATTTCTTTACTATTAATTTATTCTGTATAACTTTTTTCCCCTTCCCCATGCATTCCCCATCTAAAATCATAAATGATGTTAAAGAAACTAGTAAATAATATAAACAATTATTGGCCCTCCCAAATAAGAGTGTTCATGGGCACTCTATAAGAGATGAGAGAGATAGAAAGAGATGATTGGAAAGGGGATCCCAATGCAAATCAGGTGGCCCCCCTCCTCAATCATCTCTCTCTATCTCTCTATCTCTCTCCTTTTCTATAGATTGCCCATGGGCACTCTATAGAAAAACCCATAACTTAAGAACTCTTCAAAGTGCTTGAAAATCTTTTATTTTTTTGTACAAAATTATTACATTTTAGATTCTATATATTTTCCATACTTAACATTATTCATGAAATTATTATCAAAGGGATCGGCTGTCAAAATTCAAGACGTGCACTACATAGGAGCATCAGGGACATCTGCAAGCACAAATGCAATCACCCTCAACTGCAGCGCCTCCGCGCCATGCACGGGTCTCATTATGGACGACGTTAGCCTACAGTACGTCGCAGACCCACCTGCCACGGCCTTTTGCATTAATGCCCAAGGGACCGAGAAATCTCCGGTCAAGCCAAAAGTTCCTTGCTTGAATTAGTCATGCATAAATTTATGTTTTTCTAGTAAGTTCTTGTAAATAAATAATTGTAGTGTTGATAAAAAAGGTCGAACGAAAAATGCACTCGAGTTGAAGGGTTGTTAGTTAGTGAGTCTTTGCGATGCTGTAATTGAGAAGTACGTTTATTATTTAAGTACTTTCTTAGTTCAGCATAAAAATGTGCATGTGCTACGCTCTTGAAAGATCTAATTTCACATGAACTTATGATATGTATGAATATTTTATATCTTTAAACATTTTAATAACCATTGACAAGAGGTGATTCTGGATTTATTATTAGAAGGCTAAATATCACTTAAATACTATAAAGTTTGCCCTTTCCATCACTTAAATATCAAGTTGTTTTTACACATGAATGACTATGTGGACATATTTACATCTAACACTAGAATGTGGGTATAAATACTTAACTCCTAATCACTTAGAACACATGGTACATATATGGGGGATTCCTTGTTTGGATTTTTGTGCCTGACGTGCTAGTTCTGCTTAGTTAGGGGCTAAGTGGGAGCACTCACATTCTAGACTGTTAAATATAGATACTTTATTTATGATACGGGTATAGAATTTCAGGGACGAAATTCTTTTAAGGGGGAAAGAATGTAAAACCCCACAAATTTGAATACTATGTGATAAATAATATTTAATATGTTATGCAATGATAAATAGCATATTTATTATTTTAAGTATGTCAAGAATTGATTAGAGATCAATTCGATGTATACATATAAGGGAATAGTATAAATCAGTGTAATCAGGTCCTTAGTAGTCGACTAATACCCTTAGTAGTCGACTACTAAGAGATTGTAAGCAATATGCAGTTTCTCTGAGTTACAGCGTAGTCGACTACTAAGAAGAGTAGTCGACTATCGCGGATTCCTGTACGTGCTAGGTTTTAGTTTTCGGGTTGGATTTACTTTGTGTTCAAACCCGGTTGATAACCCAACTATATAAACATGTTTTAAACATAATTCCTGAGTTTTTCACATCAAATTTCAGCCGCCTCTTTCCCCTTAAACACTAGATCCGAATTTATGTTTTCATCGAGGCGTTTTGAGAAGCGACTTTGAGTAGAAGACGAGATCGAGGGCCGTAGCTGAAGTGAGGAGTTGGTACAACGTTCATGAGATCAACACAGTGATAGAGGCAAGATCTCCTACATCCAAACCCTACCCATAGTGTTAATCATGTGTTCATGAAGTAATAAGGTTATTTTAATGCATAGATTTTTCTGTTTAACATGATAAAAGGTAGATTTGTGATGAGAAATCTTAATTTGAGGTTGGACCTACGAGTTTTACTTGCTGGTATTAACAAAAACGTTATATGATCACTAGATTGTGTAGATCTTCATTTATATCTTGTTATCTATGCTTTAATCATGCTTAAAAGCCTAAAATTGTGATATAAAGGGGATTACATGTAGATTAAGATAATTTAGACCCTGGATCTAGGATGTTTGGTTCAAAAATCATGATTAAACAAAATTATATCAGTTCTAGACTAGTATGCAAGCATGTTTCATGTCAACCTAATCGATAATTAGGGTTTATGTCAAATATTGGTTCAAATAAGGGGATCAAATTAAGTTGGTCAAATCAATGGTTAAATAATCATGGTGATGATTCTTTTGTTTTGTATTTATTAGTTTTATAATGTGTTAAAGTATGAAAATCACATAACGTTTGCAAATGTGTTGTTGGTGCATGTTTCTGTGCAGGTTTTGACTTAGTAGTCGACTACTAAGTGAAACGTTTGCAAATGTGTTGTTGGTGCATGTTTCTGTGCAGGTTTTGACTTAGTAGTCGACTACTAAGTGAAGTAGTCGACTACTAAAGTCTGAATCATGTTTCTGTGCAGGTTTTGACTTAGTAGTCGACTACTAAGTGAAGTAGTCGACTACTAAAGTCTGAATTGATTAACAGAGATTGAGTCAATACAGAGTAGTCGACCAATGTTCTTATTAGTCGACTATAAATTTCTAAGTCGGGTATAACAGAGTCTGGTGGACTCAGTGTAGTCGACTATTAAGCTTAGTAGTCGACTACTAAGGCTGATTTTCTGTATTATGTTATGTTTTGTTTTAAATTTCGACTATGGGCTTGAGTTACATGTTATAGACATAATCATAAATGAATAGTGTTGTAATATATGTGGTATCTTCCTAGTGAGGGATTTTAGTTAGGTATTATTTCGAATACATTTTTCCTACGACGTTGTGTCCGCACTAGAGTGTGTGCAAAGGTTAGTAAACCTAAATTATGGTATCCGCACTAGAGTGTGCGCAGAGGTTAGTAAACTTATATTATGGTATCCGTACTTTAGTGTTCGTAGAGGTTTTTGAACCTACGTGGTTGTATCCATATGAATGTGTGCAGAGGTCAATGTACCTATGTTATTGTATCCGCACAAGTATGCGCAGAGGTCGGTGTACCTATGTTTGTTGTATCCGCATGAGTGTGCGCAAAGGTCGATGTACCTAAGTTGTTGTATCCGCGTGAGTGTGCGCAGAGGTAAAGGAACCTATATCTTTGTTTCCACATAGTTATGCGCACAATTTGAAATGGTTATTAGTGTCATGCACGAACATACTATTAGATGAGAATTTCAGAAAAGTAATGATTTTTATAACTTGATAGTCGAGTGTTTGGCGGACGCTAAATGAGACATGACTCGTTGTTGAGATAATTGTTGACCGAAAGATTATGTTATGCGAGTGCATGAGATACGTATGCTGACGTTTTTTATAAGGCTTTACTTTCCTGTATTTCTTGTTTTTTAATTCTAGTTTGGGATTAATATTAAATATTTAGTTATCTACTATTTGAGACATATGGTATATACATGAGGGTTCCCTTATTTGGATTACTTCATTCGACGTACTACGTCTTGTGTTATAGATGTCAAAGTATAAGTTCTATTAGATATGGGGAAATACTTTAGATAGATTATGTTTGATAGATAGATCCTCCACTGCATATAGTAGTCCTTTTCCTGGGGGCGGATGGAGGTGATCTTGCTTTAGCACTTTGATGCTTTTTCTTGTTGTTTTTTTATTTGATTTTCCTTTCAGACAGTTCAGACCATTGGAGAGTCGCATGATGGTGAAGTTTTTGCTTAGTTGTCGTCTTATGAGCTAGTAGATGAGACTCCGCGATAGACAGACTTTATGATCAATTATTAGAGTTTCTCTTTATTTTATTTTATTTTGTAGAGGCTATAAGCCTTGGTACATTCTTAGTTGATCCATGTTGCGGTACATTCATTTCATGATGACAGATGTATTCCAGACTCGTTTATTGAGGCATGATTTATTTATGAGACATTCTTACTTATATCATGTCAGTTGTAGTTATTTCCTTGTTTTTCTTGTTTGTACCTGCATTATATTTTTGATTCCACTAGAGGATATTATTATGATTTGGTGAAACTTGTTGTTGCATAGTATGGGTGCATGACAGGTTTGACATCTCTGGGTTCACCTTGGACTACAGCCATGTGTGAAACCAGAGATGTTACACTAAGTATCAGAGCTCTAGTTCTAATATCCTTAGGATCATTCCTGTGTCTAGTCGTGGAGGTAGAATAGAGTTTCCTAGGATTCATGTATAGAGTCTGTTATGAATTCTTAGAATGAGTGAGGACGTAATATGAGTATATTTCAATATTTACAATTTTTTTTGACAAACAGTGATACTTTGATTATAAAGTAATTGCATGAGTAATGTATGATATGATATATTTATTGCTATAAGTTATTTATATGCTTTCGCCTAAGGTCTCGATACTATATCTTATGAAATTATAGATGGTTGGGCATGGAAGTGGACGAAGAGGATCACGTACACTAAGGATTGAGCAGGAAGCATAGCCATAGCAGGTCCCACTTGAGGAGTAGCAAGCTCCAATTGAACAGCAGGCTCTGTTGGAGCAGCAGGTTCCTCTTGAGCAGTAGTAGGCTCAACAGGCCTCACCCAAGATGCAGTAGGCTCCCCAGTATCTGGTTGACCTTATGGCACTCATTGCACCCAGACTCGCAGCACTTGAAGAACGAATGGCGAATCAAACACTACCTATTGTGTCACCCTTAGTGATACCAGTTATTCCGATTGCTGAGGAGTCCGCAGTGGTTACCTCAGAATGCACTCCACCAGCGGTAACAAGTAGAGCTGTCGAGCAGGAGGCATGGCTTCGACTGCTAGAGAGATACTAGAAGATGAGGGCACCAGAATTTCAGGGATCATCAGACTCACTCGTCGGCTACAAATAGAAGGAGGATGTAAGTAATATCCTTGATTTACTTGGTGTGGCATTTAGCTCAGGAAGGACGCGGCTTAGCGGCTTACAGCCTCAAAGGCAATGATGGAGGAGTGTGACGCCCTGAGTTCACACAAAGCTGCAGTCCAATGGTGAAACAAGAATGTCCAACCTACATGCCACCACACGCTGCAACAACATGTTTCACCATCATAATTAACATCTATCTAGTAGAGTCAACAACAGGTGTAGGACAAAAGCAGTAAAAGATAATACAAAGAAGACTGATGAAATGATAATAAAATCAACTTCCTAATGTCTCATCATCCAACATAAAGAAATACATAGTCAATGTCTGAATAGATAACTGGAATACTCAATAAGTCTCAAATACAAATGTCTGACAAGGGGAAATAAGGCACACAACCTTTACAACTTCTAGAACAAGACTCTCAAATGTCTAAACACAAATCTACTGTGGAACTCCAAAATAAAACATAGCTAAAATAGACAGCTGAACACTAAAATGCATCGCCATCAACCTGCGACTCTCCGGGCTCCTGGCTCGTTACCTGAAAGGGGGAGGGACAACGAGCGTCAAAGCGCTAGCGAGTAACATCACAACCAACCCTAAGGGAACAGGGCTCGTTGTATAAGAAAATATAGATAATACATAATAGATCTAAAATCATTGATCTCACTAAAGAGGATTTTAGTATTTA